GAGTAAAATATAACAAATAATATTTAAAAAAAATAACAAAGTGAATAAAAATAAAGTGATTAAATAAAAATGTAAAGTTCACTTTACCAAGTAATTTGGAAAAATGGAATTACCCGAACAAATCTGGCCAACTCTACCACCAAACTATACTTGCCTTTCGGCGAACAGTCCTTCCCCTCCGCTGGTACAGGTGTACAGTGCTGCCCTGTGCCATGTATTTTGCTCGCAAATTAGCACCGTTGAATACAGTTTTGGTCGGGATCACTTTTTGTATCAAACAGAGTATGCAGATTGTTATGAGAGACAAGGAGATTGGGCCCCCACTTTAGTCCTTTAACAAGTTGTGTTGTTTTTTTTTAAAATATATGTCTACACACCTGATTTATATATAGTCACTAGGGGGGGGCCTCGGAGGGGGGTGCACGCCGATCAGCACCCCATGCAAGCAATCCGCCGGCTCTATAGCGAGCAGGGACACGGATCGGTAGCTTATACAAGCGTGAGCCGGCGGATCGCTTGTATGTTGACAGGCATCGCAGCCTGTTTTAAAATTTTAGTCCTTTCCCCATGGGGAGTGGGCGGGGCTAACAGGACGTATTTTGACGCCCTGTTACATCCAGGAAGCTCCTGGCCATCTTTCACAACGGCCAGCCGGGAGGTGGTTAAAAAAAAAATGTCCCCTTCTCCTGCTTACCTGTTTTGCAAACGAGGGGGCTGCATCCCTGGGGTCCTGTGGGGGGATCAGTGTGATCTGCATCTCTGGCTGATTCAGACCATACTAATCGCTCTCTGCCTGTGAGCAGCGGCACCAAAAGGGAGCAATTAGTATGACCTGCATCAGCCAGAGATGCAGATCACACTGGACCACCACAGGATGTTTTTCATATATTGCTGGTTTAGCAATATATTAAATAGGATCTGGGCACTTGCCAGGTTTAAAGATGACCCCTGCCCTTCATGGTGGCCATCTTTAAAACGTTAATGTGACTTGGAGATCCGTGGAACACCGGAGGCCTGTGCGGAGCACCCTAGATGAGAACCTAAAGTGTACCGACCCTGGCAACTGGCACCTAGGCTTAAGTGCCCTCTGTGGCATGCGTGCCATAGGTTTGACACCACAGATATAGGTATATGACTCGCAGGACCTTCGACCACTGGAACAGACAGGGAGCGAGGCTGAAGGGCTAGGTCTAAATGCAAGCTGGGGTCGCGATTCGGGTAACTATAACTTTTTTTTTTTCCTTAGCTCTCGTCAAAACGAGCACTTAATCCTTGCAATGTGAGGGATAGACCCCCTACAAAGGTTAAGATGGGATTTGCCCAGAGTTCTGCTTTCATCATGAAAACTTGAGTTGTGGAGGACCTCAAGTGGGCTGCATAGAGGCCTGACCTCAGCCATAATAAACACTTTTAGAATGAATTGGAATACCAATTCTAAAGTCAGGTGTTCATATCAAACACCAGTACCTGACCTCACTAATGCTCTTTTTGGCTAAATAAGCACAAAGTCCCACAGACACCCTACAAACTCTGGTGGAGTGGGAGCTGTTCTAGCCACAACTCCATATTTCTGTTCATGGTTTTGGATTGGGCTTTCCTACAAGAGTACTTGGATGTGATCGTCTGGTATCCACAAACTTGGCTATGTAGTGTTCATGTGCAGTTAATGGTCTTCACCATTAAAAAGCCTGGGGGGGTGGGGGGGGGCTTCATAATAATAATAAGGTAAAGAGTGCAAAATAATCTCTCTTTCTAGTAATTAGAGTACCTGCTCCCTATATTCTATTATATTGGTATTTTTCTGTTTCCAGGATAAAGGAGATTGGAAGCACAGTGTCTGGGAGAAAAGGATCCGAGGATTCACTCACATTACAGTCACAGAGGTTCCAGATTGGAGACTATTTAGACATTGCAATAACCCCTCCCAACAGAGCTCCGCCCCCATCTGGGCGTATGAGACCTTACTGATCTAAACGTGTGGGATTGTTTTTATGGACGTTTCCCTCTTTTATTACATATCCCATTTTGTTTTAGTTGTTTATTTGCTGGTGAATAGCAGGTGGATTCATTTTTGGCTCTTTCTGTAATTTTTTTTCCCCTTCATAAAGTTTTTGTTATTAACAGAGTACATTGCTGTCTTTGTTGTCCTTTGTTGGTGAAAGCTATGATTGTTAAATGCTAAAAACTGACACAAACCCGACCTTGAGGATTTCCCTTAATTTGGAGAGACCCCATTGTTGTCAAGACAGGAAGTGAAGCAAAATGGGACAAAGGCAATAAAAAAAAATGTCAGGATGGATATGAAACGCAAATCCACACAGCTCTGCATTCACTAATATATCATGAGGACCCCTTCACACCTGCCCATTCCATTGCTGCAACACAACTGACAAACCCAAACCTGCACAATCAACACACAGCAGTGCATTACCATACATTAGGGGGACTTTATCATAGCAATTGTGAGTGTTTGAACTTGCACGGAATATATTTGCACCAGATTTATGTTGCTACTGTAATGTTGATAAATGAGGTTTAACCTCTTGCCGTCCGCCCGTAGTAAAAAAACGGACGACACTGCTGCATTTGCGGGCACGCACGGGCAGAAAAGACCCGACGATTAAACACACCCGTTACCGGGTGTTTGACATATAGGCGATCAGCGGGTCCATAGCCCGCCGATCGCCTATATGTGCTCGTTCGCGGCGGCACTACCTCCCCCCCACTCGGTCGCGGCTGCCGTTCCAATGACAATGACAATAAGTGCAAAAAAATAAATATAAATAAAAGTAACATATAAAAAAGTCAAATAAAATAAAAGTCACATAAAAAAAGGGGAACCCCCCCCAAATGTTTAACCCCCCCACGTTTACGCGCCTATAAACATAAATACGCGTCCGGTGCCCCAGCGCGCAAAAATTACAATTGCGCTACACATGTTACATATCGCCGCAGTGAGAGCAATCATTTTAGGGCCATTAATCACTGATAACACTAAACTGATGAGCGGTAACAGCTTTTAAAGCGTCACCTATGGGCAATTTTGGGTATTATAGAATCCACCTAGAGATGGTAGCCGCCAATGCGGCCCGGACCTTACGAGGGCCCACCGTGAGCACGAACAGAGAGCCGGCCTTGCAGAAAGAAGCCGCAGCACCCAAATAAACATGGAGAGCGTGAACCACATCCAGACAGGAGCGCCCGCTCCTTCCAATGGACCAGCAGCGGACACAGGGAAGGTAAGACAATGTCCT